TCGACCAATTTCTTCGATAGTCTTAATGACCTGCTCGAGAAGGCACCGTGTGATTTTAAAGATAGGATTATTTTAGGTGATTTTAACTGTGGTGTTTTTAACGATAGCTTGTGTAACCAATTAATTTCTTGTTTTAATCTGTTTCAACTGACACAACTTATACAGGAGCCCACACGTTTACTCATTCCTCAAATAGTGCAATTGACCTTATTTTTACCTCTAAACCTGATTGTATCACTGAATCTAGCGTCTTACCTCTTTTAATTAGTGATCATTATCTTGTTTATGGTTTACAAGAATGGAAAATTCCAAAGCAAACATTTGAATCTATCACTTTTAGATCGTTTAAGAGTATAGATTATGATGCTTTTGCGGATGATCTTTCCAACGCTCCTTGGGAGCAGGTTATTGATTGTACGGATGTTAATGAAGCTTGGACTTTATTGCACTCCTTGTTCGTGGACATTGTAAATGTACATGCCCCTGAGAAATCTAAGCGTATTCGTAGCAATTCGCTGCCTTGGCTCAACAGTGCGATCATTAGTTTGATGCGCCAACGCGAGCATGCCCACAGCATAGCTAAACGGTCTGGATTACCAGCCGACTGGGATACACACAAAAGTTTACGAAATAATGTAACAGCTAAAATACGCTCCCACAATGGCAGCTACTTTGTTTCTGCTATTGAGTCTAACAAAAGCAACTCATCCGCTTTTTGGAGTAAAGTGAAAGGAGTTCTCCCCAGCAAACAAAAGCCCGGAGTGAACTCGATCACTTCCCAAAGCGGCGAGCAATTAAACAATCCCATCGATATGGCTAGTGTATTCAGTGACCACTTCTCAACAATTGGTGAGCGCATGGCAGAAAAAAATTCAGTCAAATGTTGCTCCTGATGGGGATGAAAGTAACACTGTTCATGCCGCGGTGCACTACAACTTTGAGAAATTTATTTCTCCTGATATTACTGAAGATTTTGTTAAGAAACAGATTAGTTCAATGCCTACAGGGAAAGCAACTGGTCCCGATGGCATAAGTGTTAAGCTTCTTAAGCTAGCATGCCCCCATATTATTGGGGCGCTTACTTTTATTTTGAACTGTCACTAAGAAGTGGCCTTTATCCCGATGCGTGGAAACATGCCTCAGTTATTCCCGTCCACAAGGGTGCAGATAAGTGTAGTGTCAATAACTATCGGCCAATATCTATTTTGCCACTTGTTTCCAAAATCTTCGAAAGGGCAGTTCACAGTGCATTATATTCATACCTCGATGATAACAATTTAATTCCAGCTTACCAATCTGGTTTTAGACCACTGCACTCGACGGAGACGACTTTGCATGGATTAATTAATAATTGTCTTTATGCAGTAGATAAAGGTAAAATGACAGGTACCGTTTTTATTGATCTTAATAAGGCATTCGATTCTGTCAATCATTTTATTCTCTTAAAGAAGCTACAGAATACGCACTTGTCAGGGTCTGTTTTAAGCTGGTTTGGTTCATACCTAACCAACCGCAAACAATCTGTGTGCATTGAGCGGAACAAATGTAGTCCACTCCCTTTAAATACTGGTGTACCATAAGGTTCAATCCTTGGGCCACTGTTGTTCATTATCTATACTATGGACCTTCCTTCTATAATTCCCGAGGATTGTCAATTGTACATGTACGCAGATGACTCTACAATAACATGTAGTTCCTCAACATTAGAAGAAATCGAGAGCAGCCTCAACGAAGCAATGGCTAGATTAAACGATTGGGCAACGAGAAATAAGTTAACAATCAATGCTTCTAAAACCAAGGCAATGCTCATTGGATCAAAGCATAAGATTACGTCAAATGACTTGAATATTTATATTCCTTAGTTGAGAAGGTCATCACTTTTAAATGTTTGGGCGTTATTATTGATGACTCACTTACTTGGTCTGCTCATATTGAACATGTTCAAAAGTCCATCTCTTCCAAACTAGGCATGTTGTACAGAATCACTGTATTCAATCGTCACTGTATACCAGGAACTAGTCTTTGCACTCTTGTTCAGTGCCTAGTCATGCCTACACTAGATTATTGCTGTACTGCATGGGGAGGCAGATATGAACGTCACAATAATACGCTCAATAAATTGCTTAAAAGAGCAGCCAGATTAATTCTAGGCTGCCCATTCACAACTTCGTCTGCTGATATGTTTACTTCGCTAGAATGGCTTCCATATTCAAAGAGAGTAATCTATAAGAAAGGAGTTTTTGTCTTTAAATTTTTAAACTCTATGGCTCCTGAATACATGACTGATTTCTTCTCATGTTTTGCACAATACCAAGTAACTAGACAGAATACAAATAACAGCTTGAAGATTCCCACCTCTAAAACAGAATTTATTCTCAAGGTTTTCGAGTCACTGGAGCCAAAATTTCGAATAGTTTTCCCGCCCAGCTTAGAATTACACGTTCGCTTCCTGTTTTTAAGACTGAACTTTTTAATTACTTATATTAACATTTGTAATACTTCTATCATTTTAGGTGGTTTTTCTTTTCTTTTCTTTTTCTTACATCTACCAGTTTTTATGTTCGTATTTTGTTTAATAAGTATTTGTATTTGTCTTTAAATAATGTTTGAGTATTCTTTATGTGTTCTTTTTTTACTTGAATCTTCTTAAACGTCTTATTTTTTAAGGGATATATGTTTTTTTTATATTTTATACATATTTGGTTTTGTTTATTTTTCCCGTAATGAAGTCCCTCTGTCTGTTTGTTTGTTTATACACTCCTTTTTTGCGCTCTGTTTTAGTAACGTTATTTTACCGAGAGAGTGTTGATTTGTTTTTGTTGCTGGTTTTTCTTTATCTTTTCTTAGTTTTTGCTTTTTATTTGTGTTAAGTGCATATAATTTTAAGCCTTCGATTTTGTAAATTTCATATTATTAGTTTATTTTAATGCAGGGCCCTAATGAAAACCAGCTTTTTGCTGTTTGGATTTACCCTGGATAAAGAAAGGTATATATAAATAAATAAATAAGCCATAGAGCAAGTTTGATTATATCCGCATGCATGAGAGGTTACACAAGTCTGTGTTCCTACGGAGAACAGGGCTGGACTCGAAAATAGGGGCATTGCGGGTGCGCGTAGAGTTTTACTACTGAGTGCGACCAAGCGGCGGAACGAGGGTTTTTGCTGTGTGCATGACTATGTGGGGCGGGTCGGGTACAGTACGTGTACGGGTATGCTATGGCCGACCAAAGCCATGGGTTGCCAGGATGGGCAAAGAGGGGCGTTTCCCCCTCCCCTTTCCCGGAAAAGCACACCAAAATAGTTAATAATGAAAAAGGGGTAAAGAATAAAAAAAGAAAAAGAGGTGTAACATCATATTTTGCTATTAATGTCATACGCAGTTAACAAAACCTCTGTGTGCAGGCGTGTCACTGGATGGGGTGGGTATATGTTCACCGCCAATCCTCGAAAAAAAATATATAATTTGAGTATATACTAGAGAAAATACAAGAATTTCGGGAAAAATGTGGTCCCCCAGAAAGCAATCCTGGCGACGCCGATGGCCACAGCCTTGCACTGAAAGCTACACACAACACTAAGCAAACCAACTTTGGTCAGAGTTCACGATTTTTGCTGTAAGCCAAGTACCGAATTACTTTTGTTTCTGTGGTTCCTCTCGCCTCCTTCTGGCTGTGCTGGTTCTGTTCCTACGGTCAGATTTGCCTTGATTACACTCCAAGGAGTAAGGGGACCAGAAACCTGCTCACTTCGCTCTTTTTTTATTCTTCTTGTTTCTCTAACAGTAGTACCATCCGAAACAGAAACTGTTCCATTTAAATATCATGTAATCGGGTCATCGGTAAACAGCAGCCGGTGCTCGCCGTGCGCGTGCTCTACAAACTCTGTTCAAACTACGATAGCGAAACCATAGTGATGTAAACAGTCAGACAACGGTTTTATAAATCCTTCACAACTTACCGAAACTGCCAAAGACAAAAAAAATGTATTCGACAATAGTGCAGCACGCTGTGGCAAGCTTAGAATTACAAATTACTTTAACTGCCGCACTGTGTATCCAAAAGTTTGAGCTCCTTGATGACACACTGCGGATTTTGTGTAAAACGTCAGGTCTAAACTCATAGCAGCTACACTCATAACACACAGTTCTTGAATATGAAAAACATGCCGTACTAAACCGGCTTTGTGCCCAAACCATTTTTCCCAACTGCATGATCAATACTTTTTATTCCTTCAGGTGTCATTTAATGCTAATAATTTGGTGTACGGTAGCACTGGCGCTGAAGGCACCGGGTATTCTTCTACATCTAAGTTTAAACACGGAATCAGAATCGGGAAGAAACATTGATTAGGTGAGATTTCAAAGAAAGAAACCGTTTGTATAAATGAATTTCACACGTCTCCTTGAAGAAAACTGAACAATACACTTTCGCAAATATCTTTGGAAAGAATCAAAAGACATACAGTTAATACGAATCGAAGTAGCTGTTTATAATAAGTAAAACTCTCATTACCAATTAACCTACAGCTGTGCAATGAACGGTGTTGCTCTGTCGAGGTTCACGCGAACCCTAAAGAATAAATATTTACATTAAACAAAAAGACTTCTGGCAGTTGCGGTAGAGTTTGCTACTATTTTTCACATCCTCTTTTACGACTGACAGTTTAACATACGTGATAAAAGTTAACTAGAAGTGCAGACGCAGCAAGTTTCATTTTAAATGTACACACTGCTGATCAAATGTATATTTAATATCCTGTGTTCATACATAACATTTACACAAGCAGGCACTGAAAGACAAAAAAGCTATAACTCAGATTTAAAACTAAAAGTAAGCACGAGTAAAGATATGCAGATGTTTTGTTTGAAAGCTCTGTTTTCAAAATACGTGCGCGAAGTCAAACCAATATTTGTCATTTACCTTTTGGTCGAGTTGCCAAACAAAAAGAGAGACACGCAAGGTGGAAATAAAGGATTTGAATGAAACCAAAAGTACACAAGCTTGCTTAAATGTTAGAGATAAACGGTGCAAGAAATCCTATAAAAGTGAGCGGATTTTGCGGTGTCTGATACCAAGCCACATTTCGACGGAACTGGCAGATATCACCATGCAAGCTACACGCCTTGTCTTCGCTCTGCTCTTCGGAGCTTTGCTGATTGGTAAGTTGCCAACGACTATAATTTAATTTACAACATGATACCTTGGCTGCTTATATAACGTAATGAACGCGCTGCATAGCCAGCCATATGGCGCAGGGTTATAATATACCTAGCATAGCACTTTCGGCCCGGTACTTTGTGCAGTGATAAACTGATGAGCCATCTTCTGCAATTTACTAGGCCATCATGTGTTTAAACATTTCATGTCATTGAAACCCCTCTTACTTCTGTGTGTTGTGATCAAAGAATAAAGTTCTGTAACATGGAAGTGTATCAACTTATTCCATTCATTTTGGTTTTCAATCAATTATTTCGATGGAGTTGTACAGTTCATGATTCCAGGTACTTTTAATTACATTCTAGAGCCTGACAAACAGCCGATGTTACGTGAAGTGCATTTATGTACTTTTTGTACTAACGACTAATTAATGGCAGAATATCCAATGAATGTACATGTATTTATATGTATATATTCAGTTTTAGATGGCTTGTCTTTTCTGTGGCCCTTTTCTATTAATGTATTATATTATTTTATTTTTGCCTTTTCTATTTCTATATTCTATTACATTCTTGTTCTTTTCGTTTCATGTTTTGAAGATTATGCCTACACAGAAAGTGTAATTTACAATTGATGGGACTGTATTAAACAGCACTGATATAATATCGTTTGCTAACCACATCAAATTCCACGCTAATTTGGTATCAAATTCCACGCTTATTTTGTAAGAAACAGTATGTGAAACTTTTCCAAAGCTATTCATGGAATGTTATATACTGGTTCATAAAGCAATGCCGATTTAACAATGCAATACACTGCGGATAAATCATTTGTCGTGCGGCTTCTTCGAGCAAAGTTTCATTAACGAGTAACTTGTTGTAGCAAACCGATTTACAAATAGGAATTTGTTCAAACTGCCAACGGCCATAACCTTGATTGTGTCGATATGTTTCAGGATCATGCATCGCAAAACCATCAAAGAAGGGGCGTCATCAAGCCCGCCAAGGTAAGATTTCTGACATCATTTTTATATTATTTCATTGAAGATACACACAAGCTTAGACATTACATGCTTAGCAGGTCATGAAACGTTGTCTTCGGGAATAAACAGGCGCGTATATGATACAATGAGTTCGACTTTAGCGACAGCCCGCTAGACAAACTATTCCTGAAGTATTCCGGCGGTCGAGTCAAACATTATTGGGCCACGGCAAAGTTGAAAGGACATGAAGAAATACATCTTTAAATTCAGGAAGCAAACCTGTATCACTTTGTGTCGGATTTTATTAACTGTTTAGGGTTAAATTATTAGATCTGTTAATTAAAAACACTGACAAGATTGCCTGAAGATAAACGTTTTACATGTAGGCCCCCTATGCACATTGTTGTTATGAGATACTATAAAAAAAAATAATAATAAATATCATGTTGGCTAGTGAAAATGACCTTGGGCTAGTTAAGAGTTGTTTCAGTAGCCCGGCTGGCTAATGAACAAAAACAAGTTTAGTTCGAACCCTGTATGTCCAGGCTCCTTGTTATTCCCCAACCCACTTAACCTGTCTTGGTTTTTAGGTATACCCTGCGATAGCGACTCGTTCGTCTGCAACGATGGAACATGCATCTTCAGTTTTTGGGAGTGTGACGGCTGGGATGATTGCAGTGGTGGAGAGGACGAGGCCAACTGCCCATCAAGTAAGTCAGAATGAAGTAACATTTTGCCAATATTGGCCCAATCCTCATCAACCTTACTAAGTGAAATAAAAAATGGGAGGTTTACTTTACTGTTCGATTAACTGATAGTAATACAGTTGCAAATTGCGTTGACGTCATTGATGGAAGCGGAATAATATATTGTTCAATCCGTGCGAAGCAAGGATTCATCTGGTTTAAACTGTTTGCTTTATTACTTTATTCTTTTAAAAAACAGTTCCAAAGCGCTACATGAGCTATTAATTGATGATCAATACACAGATCTTCGTATAAAATAAAAATCAGATCCATATGTAAGCCAAATTATACACAATCGAATTTTGTTTGTTGAAGCAAAACTAAGTTTCAGCTTAGCACTCGAAAGAAACCCAAGCATTACTTCAAAAAGGGCTCTTGTCATTCGAATTCACTGCAGAAATGAGCAATGCAGCGCGATATTTTGCAATATGATTTAAAATAAACCAGCCCCGTCTGATGCGTCTTTTCATTTCGACATTTTTTTTTCTCTGGTTTAAGGTTCAGGTTGCGGCGCATTTGAGTTCACCTGCAACGATGGATCATGCATCCCCAGCTATTGGCAGTGCGACAACTGGGATGACTGCAGCGGTGGAGAGGACGAGGCTGGGTGCAGTAAGTGCACGATTTTATGGCCCATTTTTTTTTTTTTTTAATAAATATACGTTCTCAACTGTTTCATTGTGACGTTTATTACCACCAATTAACTTCGTTACATGTTCTCATTTTGTTGTACATTTTTTTTTAAACGGGTAAAAGCAGGGGATAATGAATTCAATGAACTGAAATGGTTGAAGATGATGCATTATTGATATGGTTTCCAAATAATTTGTTTGCGATTAACTCTTTATTTACGAAACTATTTGTAACAGCAGGGAATTAATTTGCATTGGTCGTACCTGTTTTGCCAGAATGTCCCCATTCTTGCATCCTATATTTTGTCGTATTATAGTAATGCATACATTAAATAATTTGAGGGACTTCCGTCGGTTCATTTCTTGTGTGTTTTATGCGCGGTTTTGTCTTAAGTTTTCAACACAGTTTTAAATACGTGGAGAGCGGCACACCCTATTCAAGTTTCTTTATACAAAACAACACCGCATTTTTGCATTGTCTGTATACCAATCGCGAAGCTGTCATGGCTATACCCAGTGTGTACCGTCGTTTTTATTTAGTCCAACTTGAAATGTGTAGTTGACGCCGCACCTATTGCTTTATAAACAATATATATGTAATCTATAAGTCTTAAACCGCTCTCTACATGCGGGGTGTCAGTTCATTTTGCGAATAGGCTTAAATACGAGCATATATGCATGCAGATTTACTGTGTTTTTTGTTTTTATTAAGCGTGTGATGATGATGAATACACTTGCAACGACGGATATTGCATCCCCAGTTACTGGGAGTGTGACGGTTGGGACGATTGCAGTGGTTCAGAGGACGAGGCCAACTGCCGTACGTTTCTTTTCAAATTTGGTTTTAAAAGCCTTTTTTTTTAATAAAAAAGAGAGTATCTCTCCTCAGTATCCGGAGGAGAGATGTTGCATTTGAACTTCATCGTTGAACTGTAACTATTAACAACATTTAAGAGAACCGCTTTCCGGGGAACCCCCCCCCCCCAAAAAAAAAAAAAATCGATTTGAAATATTCCGATTCTGTGTAGTAGTTTTTGCTGCAGAGTATATTTTGTGAAGGATACTTCTTTCATGTTGGTATTATTTTATAACAACTCCTCTATCAGTTGACATTTTCGCCCTTTGCGAGTTAGCCGCACCCAATTCGACAACCCTAGGGAATTTGTGTACACTAAGTTTTGTTTTTCTCAGATTGTGCGCGTACCGCGTCCATTTGTATATCATGTAAGTAGACACGTTTCACAAGCTGGGTTGACGCGATTGTAACGCGATGCTACCGCGATAGATCCATTACAATGAAGGTCGAATTACCGGGCGTGGTTTAGTATTTAATTGGGACAAAAACGACCCCACCTTGCTTCACAAAATAGGCGCTACAACAAAAACTACTGGACCGAATCAGGCGATTTTGGTTTCATTTTTCTTCTGAATAAATATTCATACATTGATATGATATGTGGTGTGAGTCTCAGGGTAGTGGAAGTATGAGGTTCCGCTGTTTTTACCACACTGTATTGTAATCACCCAGGCCCAATTGTCGCCCATTCTACATTGAAGTCGCGAAGTGTTACATTGTTTCTTCTTACTTTCAAGCATTATCTTCTCTGTTTCATGTTTTACTATTAACTATTTCTTAACGGAATCGTTTTCGGTAACGGGATGGAGTAATTTGTCATGGATGGTAGCAAGAAAGTCTGTTTTGTTAGTTAGCCGTTGTATACTGCAGCGGGTTTTCAGTTTATGTTTGGTCTTATGATTTTAGTTTAGACTTAAATACCAACTTATGGACTTGCGCACTTATTCTGTTCCTTTTTTTCGACAATTAAGCGTGCGATTCTGATGATTACGTCTGTAACGATGGAAGTTGCATCCCTGGTTATTGGGAATGTGACTACATAGTTGATTGCAGTGGTGGGGAGGACGAGGCTAACTGCCGTAAGTTTCTGATTGTTTTTTTTTTTATTGCATTTGGTTTAACAAATAATACTTTCGTTTTATATATTAAGACATGAAAATTAATATGACGCATACACACGTTTACACTGATACCCATTGTACATATTAATTGTAAAGAGAGAATTGAGCACACTGCCTGGAATCCTGTTTTTGGCAAAGTATCAGAATCCTTAAGGCAGTGCAGGTTTTAAAGCTATTCTAAGGCCCGTGGGTCGACCTCCTTTTTTTGTCCCTTCAGCCAGCGACTCTTCGATGTTTTCCTCCATGTTCTCCAACCCCTGTCCAATGGGTGAGTTCCCCTGCCTGTACACCGACGAGTGCATCACTTATGATGACTTGTGCGATGGTGAGAACGACTGCAGCGGTGGCGAGGACGAGTCTGAGATAGTCTGCTGTAAGAACTCCCTGAGTTTTTTTTTCAAACATTTTTTTTTAAGTATTGATGTGCAGACGGTTCGAAAAACTAAATCAGTCGGACACTGAATTGGCTCTTAATGGGATTGTTTCTATAGTGGTGGATAGATCTTCAATACCCTTACATAAGTCGATAGATCTTTAACATCCTTTCATTAGTCATTACTAACAGTCTCCCCATGCTGATCGATCAACGTAAAACGGTCGATTATCCCAAGTTAACAGATGCACAGCTGCATGTTAGAGTCAGCAGTGGCCACATTGGACTGTTTTCCAATGTTCTTTTACCGTTACTTTTTTACTATTGCTCAGAAAGGAGTAAACTAAACATATGAACACGTTGCTGCCAGACTGACTGTTATTGTATTTTGATCTAGCCATATTCGGCGACAATTCCAAGAGAGCTCCTAAGAAGAGGTGGGAGAAATTGGCCCGAAAAGTGGATCAAAAGAAGAGGGCCATGCGCAAGTAAACTCACTAGAGGTAAGGACACAAATGGATTGGCTGTAATTGCCTCAAAACCAATACATGTACAGAGATTCAGTCAGACTTAGTTTGTGTGTATTTACGACTGTGTTTGATGTAAAGTCGGGTGTCAGTGGAAAATAAAACATGCACGATTCATTTTTGCAGTGTAGAGTTACGGTGGAGTCATTTCAAGTCACTCCTACTCAGAAGCATGTCAATCCCAAGTCACAAACCAAACATGCGAGATAAATACTTTTTGCAGAAAATATTGAAACTGCACTATGTGTTCATTGCTTTTTTATGTCCTCATTCATGATTTGACTTGTGATTTGACATGTGACTCATATCATGGATGTGGAGCAGTCACCACCTCCACAGGTAAAGGCGAAGCCTCACAATTCAGAACTAGCCCGTCACAAGTCAATCAACTGTCAATTAACAAGTGATAGAAATAGTGTTAGGAGTAAATACATTGAATACATTTACACTGCTCAGGGTATAAAAATACTTGAAGTATGCCCAAAATAACAAATGATGGACAATGCTCCTAGATAAACAGGGTGTTTAAAAAAAAGGAAACCCAACTTCAAAGAATGAGTATGGACTGACGATATGTTAACTGGTATCATCGGAAAGCGTAATCCCTATGCTTTTCAATGATACCATGTTTAGGTTTTCTGAGTCATGCATCAGTGAGCATTATTGTCGTGAAAATTGGAAGCAAAAATGCAGTTGGTACACTTTCATAAAAAAAACACTGGGAATGGTGTGTCTATTGTTACGGAAATGTCTATGAAATGGCTTGAATGTTAATCCTCGGGAAAATGGCACATTGTTTTGAATGTGGTTTGGTCAAAACGAGAAATTCATGACAAACAATAAAATCCAGTTTTGAAACCAACCCGACTTGGTTTCTTTTTATGCACCCGTGTCCTCTTCTTGAATACTTATGCTCATGCACACCATGCCTATTGTGTTTGACATGAAAGTGAACCAACAGCAATTTTGCATCAAAATCTCATGACAGTGGCGCTCGGTGATGCATGACCCTGGAAATGTAAACAAGGTACCATTGAAAAGCATATAGATTACGCTTTCAGATGATAACAGTTTTATAGCAAGTAAATATTTAGTCTGTCCATACTGGTTCTTCAAAGTTGGGTTTCCTTTTTATTGAAACACCTCGTAAATGTTATTATTTTCTAGCTTCGTAACGCTGTTTTACTTTTGCTATATCTTTTTGGTAATAAAGGTTCATTCGACCGGGAAGGACGGCCATGCTACAGGATCTTACAACGGACAAGTAAACATTAGTTTCCGCTGCCACAAGATATCGATAATTAGTCGTAGTCCTAAGACATTTACACTTTCTGCCTTTTCATTATTCATGGGTCATTTGGAATGTTGATTGTCACATTTATCTTTGATTGAAATGACTACGACTTTTAATTCACTTAAACATCATATTCTAGTTTCTTCAAAACGAAACTGACAACATGGTCATACCAAGCCAGAAATAGTGTAATAACATAAATATATAGGCACATGCATGCCGAGAGGATATTCCTCCTGACAATGTCATATTTAAACATCTTAAACTTATCCGGGACAGTCTAGTTTTCCAAACATTTGTCCTTACTTGTACAGGAACATTATATAATACCTCCGTAATCGAACACGGCTACCAACTTGCTTCAAATTTGAACTGATCAAGAACATTCCAGTTATTTCATGTGGTCTGTATCATATAACATTATCCTTTCAGATAGTTGTAGGGCCCCATACAGCAAAAACTTTAAAGTTACCAAAGTCGATCACAGCGAGCGCCAAACGTCAATAAGTTGAACAACCATGCACGTGTCTATTTAAATCTTCCCGGAGCTCAGTCTTTTGGCACACTTGTTCTTCGTTACAAACAATGTTATCAAACTTTTAAACAAATCGAAATATTGTATAAAAAAATCATAATCTGCAGTCTGGATTTCTTTCCTTACGTTGTAGAATTAGCTGGAAAAATTGAAGCTCAATTCTATGAAAGTTCGGTAATAAAATGGCGTGGCAGTTATTTTAAAAGAGCAAATAGATGTCTACGTGTACCTTATGTTTGAATGCAGAGTGTTTTAGTGTAGAGGAAATTCAGGATAATCTTTCAATTTCTTTGTGAATTTCATGAACACTTTCATTAAGACTGGCATGAAAGAAAATACAATTTGCTCACAAATTGGTTTTGATTCGTTTATACTTGGGTGTATAATGACTGACGTGAATAGCTTCCTAAAAGCTATACTACACTGTAAGATGTGTGTGTTTTGAATAATGAGGAATAAGTCCACTCCTTTTTTTTTTAATAGTGATGACGATATTTTGTTTGTTTCTGTCATTCATGAAGGTGGATGGAAAAACGTTTATGTTTTGTTGTATTCAAGGGGTATTCATCGGTTCGCAGACCGGCTAGTGATCAATATTGGACAACTAAACTGTGTGGTCTGTTTATGAAAAAAGGTCATATCTCGAGAATGGACTATATGCTTGTTAATATATTGCAGCGGTAGATTCGCCCCAGCACCAGTGAAAGTTCTGAATTTGTTCTCGACTTGTTTTTTTTCCTTGAAGGGTGTGATTTATCGTTAGTGTCCATTGGCATTCAAGTACTGGGCCCAATTTCACGGCGCTGCTAAGCACACAAATTTGCTTAGCATAAAAAAAATGTCTGGCTTCTAAAAGCAGGTTACCAATCGAAACTCCACGTAATATTCATGCTAAGCAACAACAGCTGTTACTTTTTTTTATAAGCCGAACTTTTTTGTGCTTAGCATTTTTTTTTTTTGGGGGGGGGGGGGGGTTTGCTTAGCAGCGCCGTGACATTGGCCCCCGGTCTGAAGCATAACTACTACTTATGTCGGCAGCGTGCGAGTCTGTCAATACCATCGAGGGCTTCGACCAGGTCGGTGAGTAGACCACCTCTAATTGCTTCGCTGTTCAACCATCGCTCCAGGTCCAGCACACATTTTTATCATTTTTTATCAATATTTGTCAGATTTATCAAAAATCTGGATTCCCCAGAATAACTCGAAATGCGCTATAACACTTACAATCACATGCAGATGCTGTAGTATTGCCTTAATTAAGGTTCAAATAACATTACAAACAATTTATAGTCACATAAAGATGTCATTATATTGCGTAAATTTCAGGCAAAACGCAGTTGCGTCACGACGAAGTCCGGTTCCCAGTGAACCTCGGCACCTATACCAGGCAACCTGTCCCATTATGCAAGGGTTTGTTTTGAAAAGATTGAAGCTTTTTTTAAAGAAAATGTAAAATTTTTGTCAAATTTGCTATGTTTTTCTGTCAAATAACCATTTTTTGTGTGCAGAATTCAGCCTGCAATCTGTAAAACATATCCATTCTGTAAAATTTTCTGTCAAACGTTTTGTTTTGTTTTTACAAAAAAAATTGTCAAAGTTAGTCGAAAATCGGTCTAAACAGTCACTATGCATATCGCCAATGTGAATTCTTAGGTTTGTCGGAATGACTCTCTTTTAGAGTGACTTCCGACTTTCGTAGAAAATTTCCTGACATAATCTGCAAAGGGTTTTGAATAAACATTGCCATGACAACTTTAACTAAGCACACTTGAAAGTAGGCATGCAACACCTGCGGCGACAGATTGAGGGTTTTCTAAATGGAATCCCCAACAAAAATTGCTTGCTAATCTCGATTTTAATTTATCAATTTTTTTTTTTTTTTGCAAGAGGGTAGACGAATAGGGTAAGGGTGGGGAGTGAATAGGTAAAAAAAGGTTTTCCCGGACAATGTTGGAAAATGTGCATCTAAATGTGTCAAACACAGAGTCAATTTGGCGGATTTTCGGAACGACGCATATCCAGGTTTCACTTTCGCAACAGCTTTAGAATGAGGTTGAACAAATGACGAAGACCCGGGGACAAGGTTGGTCCGGGATTCATGTGAGCTAATCTGTACTTAACCCTATTTTCAGTCAGATGTACTTTGGCATAGTTGATGGAAGAGACAAGCCATCACCAAACTTCGAATTCGGGCTCCTTGCAAAAACGCGTTCTAGGGGCTGGATATATTTAAAAAGGAAAAAAAAACTTGGATTTCTTCCTCTTCTCATGTTCATTGCAAGTGATGTTAGGTTTTTACGGTGCTGAGTTAAAGCGCCATTTATATGCATGGAAGGATTTTTTCTTCTGACAAAATGATCCGTCTGAGCAATAGGTAAGGTCTCTGGCAAAATTACACAAAAGAGACAATGTTATGATAGTACCCAATTCTCTAAATCAAACCTCAGCCTGTCAGACAAGAACCACCACATTTTTCAATGATGTTTGGGTTTAAGAAACTACGTGAATCTAGCTGGTATCGCCGCAGGTCTTAGATGATCAATCATTCTGTCCACAAGACTTGTCAGCAAGATCAAAAGAAAATATGCACGGCACAGATTGATGACCAACTATAATTAATGTGGCTGCGTAATTTCTATTATCGTGGTCAAATGAAATAGATGAATGAAATGTTTGGTAATAATCGTTTTAGTAACAAAACACTTTCAAAAAATGTCCATATCATTGAATCTGAAGAAAGTCTGTATTTCAGCAATGTCCTCACTGACGATTAGTTGTTTCGGATGACGGGGAGCTCCTTGTCGGTACGGCGAGGCCGGTATGTTCATCCCACCGAGACCCACAGCAGTACATTCGTACGGGTCTCTGTAGAGACAGTCTCATACTTATATACAACTGTATGTTTAATAGAGATTTGAATAGGTCAATAATTAGGGGCTAAGAAATATGATACAGGTCGAGCCTTCATGTCTGTACAAAAGACACCTCCTGAACGGGATTCAGACAGACAGTGAAACTAGCTCTGACCCGTGTCATTTCAATTCGTTTTCAAGAAGGTTTATTATAATGAGTACTGCTGTTTACATCTATCGGTTACATTTAAGGGTAACGTGTGTTAGTGACATTTGCGGGATCTGTTGGTTACATTTGCGAGTTACATTTGCGGGTTGCACTTGCTTGTGGGTTACATTTGCAGGATACTAAGCAAACCAGTTGCTTCGAATACAATCTGTATTTATATGAGAGCCATTGTTAGTCTTGAATATTTGTAGAGGTGGTTATTCCTTTGTCCATTATTGTGTCCTAATTACTGCGTGAACCCAAGAAATATACAATCGATTACAAATCGGTGGAAAATTGCTCCCAAAACGAATCCATGTTTCTCGGGCCCAAGATCGCTATGACAATCTCCGCAGTTCCGACAGGTATAACAGCCTGAGGGAATCGAGGCGAGATCCGCTACTATCAGATCATGTTTATTAGCTTTATTTTCAGTAATTTTAACTGGGTCTGTACATGCATATTTATTTCATTTATTTTTGTTTGTCTATTTACTAGAGATGGAGCATATTGCCAATGATGTGGTACGTACGGTACAGAAACACGAAAATGTATTCTACAATGAACCTTTTTAAAACAATTTTAGTAAATCTAATATTTTTTTTGAAACATTTTAGAATTTAAATGTAAAGGTCACTAATAAATTCATTCCTAAATGCGTCCATGATTTTAACCTAAATGGTGACTCACGCTTCTGTCAGTTCCGGGAAAGTTTTCGCCCACGGCCACTTCCTCCCAGACCAGTTGAACCCTTTTCTAGTTGAAAACAGATGACCTGAGCAATCGGGATTAACGGCTGGCCGCTCCACGATGGATGACATTCTCGCCCTCCGTCTGTTTTCCTAGCTGCATGACGAGTTCAACCAACCCTTTATCCTTGGCCTACATTTATCTGAAGGCAGCTTTCGACTGGGTTGATAGAAAAGCACCCTGGAAAGCTCTACGAGGCATCAGAGTTCCCCACCATCTCCTCATCCTCCTCAAGGATCTCCATAGCAATACCACTGCCAAGGAAGGAACACCTCCGAAAGCTTCCTCACGAGATCTGTTAGAAGACAGGGCTGCATCCTGGCACTTTCCCTTTTCGTCGCGCCATGGACTGCATGATCCTCGAGAGGGCGACCGTGGATGTGGGGATCGCCATCGACCAGTTCAAGTTCTCAGACCTGGACTTTTCTCAAGTTAAGGTGAACGACCAGTCCGTCAACGTTGTAGTGGATTTCGTAGATATCTCGGAAGTAAGATCTCCAACACTGGGCGCAGTGAACCCGACATCCTCCGACGACTAAGCCTCGCTTCATCTACTTACAGCCTAGTACGAAGAATCTAGAGGCTAAAGAGGCTGAAACGTCCCCCTAAACTGGGCATATACGAGACATGCGTCATTCCTGTTTTGCTATCCAGCTTAGAAACCTGGACCGTCCTGAATTCTGATCTCAGAAGACTTGAGTCATTCCACCTAAGATGTCTATGCTCGATCAAATGCGTCCAGTGGTACGACTTCGTCAGCAAAAACGACGTCTCCCTAAGAAAAAGAATGCCATCCATCATCCACAAACTCCAAAATCGCCCAACCGCCTTCTTCGGTCACGTTGCTCGCCTGGCTGACAATATCCCATACAAAAACGTTCTTACGCATCGCCATCAATTCCAGGATAGGTCAACGGCCAACCCCCGGCTGGAAGAGACCCCTTGGCAGTCCGAGACTATCTTGAGGGGAACTACTCGGACGGCCTAACCAAACTGACTTAATGTGGAATGAGGCTGTAGGATACGGGCACAGGAGATCGGCGCCACGGACCTATGCTGTCTATGCGGATGAATGAGTGAGCAAGTGAGTGAATTTACCAACATATCGAAAAAGGATAACAATATTAGACACACAGACATTTAGTACTGAAACACTACGGGGCAGATCTAGGGGTTTTTTTGGCGGGGGGGGGGTCAGGCTCGTTAGATATTTTAATGTCAAATTGTTGCGGACAGGTGGACATATATGTTATCAATTATTAATTTAAATGTTATAATTTGTTTGTATGTCAGAGCGGGGGGGGGGGGGATTTATCCACACGTTCGCCCCACTGAACCCTTGCAAATGCTAAGTGTTGCTATGCCCTGTTAAATCACATCAGATATGGAACGG